GTGGGGGGGGGTTGTTTTGTGTGGTGTGGCGATTTGGGGATTAAAGCGGCGTTTGTGGTGCTTTAGTCTCACCCCATGTCCAACAACAGCGACGACACCAACAACAATAGCTTAAGCTTTTCACCGCATGGTCCCCCCCTCTTCCCTCCCCCTCACCCCAGAACGAGCCGTGCGTGGCTAGCGTCCGGTTGACGTTCCTTCGACCATGCGGCACGAGCGTGCCGCCACGCTCGCCGCAGTCAGTGCTCGATCTGTGGAGGGAGCATGTCCGGGTGATTGTCTTGAACAGCGTTCCCGAGGTATGGTGGAATGGTATAGAACGCCGTTGTATGATATGGTGTGGAACGGTTCGATATTTTCCTATATAGCATGGTGTGGTACGCTGTGGTACGGTTTGATATTCTCCTACTATATGGTATGGCATGGTGTGGTATGGTTTAGTATGGTACGGTCTGGCATGGTGTGTCTTCATACCTCAGTTTCGGTGGGCAGAAATGAAGGTCCTCACCTTTAGAGTCATGACCCCTCTACCTCGTTTCCACTAATGCTGTGTTGCATGGAGTTTTCTCATTCGTTCTTCTGCCCCTTGCGGGTTGGATCAGCATTCCGCTGGGAAGGAACACCGTATACATCTCGTTCCCCTAGTAACAGCTGGTTAGTGACAACAGCAGCAACACTGCCATCACCATACACAAGAGAACCCACCGTAACCCCAATAATACAAGTCATATGTAGCCCTATCGCAAACAATTGTGAAGTAACCAACCCCAGCAACTCCAGTCCCAACCCTATCACCAACGATCTTACCGTTGGTCTTTTCTCCGTGCCTGTGTTGGTGGCTGTGCCGTTCCAGTCCAACAGAAAGCACGAGGTCATGCTGGAGCTATCGCGGCTTCAAGACGCTACCACCCTCCGCGCGCTGGCGTGCCAAGCCTTCGAGGTATAGGCCCGCCGCCTCGAGAGGTTTCGTATTTTTGGTAGGCGTGCGAGGGGTAAAGTAAAGCGTGGGCTACAGCCATGTGCGATACTGAGTGCCACCGCCCTACCCCCGGGTACAGCAGTACCCTCCGCGGCTGTTGTGGCCGGAGAAAGTTTGTCCCCTGTCCCCTCCTCTCGAAGCACGCGCGGGAGAGCTCTCGGCGAAACGATTCCAACGGGATCATTTTCGGCACCGCCGCAGTACATCTGCTGTGACCGATCTTTGAAAATCTGTCCGGGGGGTGTGGTATGTTGTGTCATGTCACCTATGGTACTGTACGGTGCTGTCCTCGCTCTAGAGTGTTGCCAGGAAACTAGCTGCCTTGAAGATCGAACGCGACATTGCCAAGAGCGGGCCTCGTGCCCCAATTTTTCGATAGTGATGCTTTCCATGGAGGGGGAGGGATGCGCAAGTTGAGAGTAGGAAGGTTAAGGTTCTGCTCAACCCCGACTCCTGCAGCACGCTGGTCGTCGCTACAATACTCGATTCTGTGGTGTGCTGCTGATCGCCCCCCCCCACCGTGCCCACACTACCACGCATTTTTTGTAGGATGCTTCTGAAGACGCCAACGCTGCTGCGGCCGCCAGGGAACAACAGCAGCAACAACAGCTGCAACAGCAGCAGCTGCAGCAGCTGCATCAGCGGCGGCAACAGCAGCGTTTACAGCAGCAACAACAGCTGCAGCAGCAGCAGCAGCACATGCACCGCCCCTCCCTGCCGTCAATAGGACTGCCCCCCCTCGCCGTAAACAACGCCCCCCTGCCCTCCGTCACTATCAGTGTCTCCGCGGGTAGCAGCAACGGTGGCGCAAGAGGAGCGGAAGCAGCAGCGGAAGCAGCAGCAGCAGCAGCAGCGGGGTCGAGTGCAAGTGGGCTGGGCGGTGACAGGGTTGCGAACGGTAACGGTAACGATGACGGGAGTGCGGGCGTTCAGGGACAGCTGGATGGCGGTGCCCGTGGTGAAGCGGGGGCGGGGGCGGGGGCGGGGGCGGGGGCAGGGGAAGAGAACGGAGAGGGAGAGGAGTTTAGTGTCCCGGGCCTAAGCCTGGTGGAGGAGCGCTGGCATGTGAGTGTGTGTGTGCGGATGACCATTCCGGGTATTCCGTGATACAGCAGGACCGGCTAAGAGAGAATATGGAAGAGAAACTACGGAAAATGAGAGATTCACGTGTTATTTCGCTCGTCTTTGGGGAACATAACCTAGTTCATGTTTGTTGGGCTTTCTCCCGCAAGATTTGCTCGCGAGAATGGTCTCCTGCGATGTTTCGTACCGCTCTCTATGGAGAAATTGTGTTGGATATGCAAGTGTGTTGTTCGTCTCGTTGAAGTTGAAGTTGATAAAAGACGCAGCGGCTACAGCAGTTCTTGGTCCACAGCAAAATACAGCGGTGTGAATGAAACTGAGCATGACGCAGCCGTGCAAGGCTCCCCCCCCCCCCCCCCCCCCCCCCCTTTTTTTAAATTTTCAAAACCACTTTGGGGGGGCCAGCGGGAGGGGGCCCCCTTTGGGGGGGAAAAAAAAAAAAATTTAGCCCCCCCCCCCTTGGGGGGGGAAAAAAAAAAAGGTTTTTTTTTTTTTTCAAACGGGAAAAATTTTCATTAACCCCCCCAAGCCAAAAAAAAATTGGGCGGTTTTATTTGGGGGGGGACCGGGGGAAAACCTTGGGGCGGGTTTTTAAAACCCGGGGGGGTTTTATTTTTGGGGGCAAACGATTTTGGGGGGGGGGGTTTCTCCAAAAAAAATAAAAAAGGGGAAAAATGTTCTTTTTCTTTTT